TATCAGATCACATGGTTGTTTTGATTTGTACATGTTTTATCATAAACAACATAAAAGTACAAGTAGAGAAGAGGACTGATGAGGAAACACAAAATGACACCAGTCTTTTAAGGTCCATGTTTTATTCAAATCTATACAAGAAAAATCTACATTTGCTTTCAGTTTTTGGGGGGATTTTTGTGTTTTCATTATTTATTGCAAGCTCTAACAAAGAAACATATCAAACATGACACCAAGATCAATTGTAAACAAATGGAACTCCTCAAATCTTTTCACAAGGTTGTTTCACATAGCTTCAGTTTCACTTATCAGCCGGTGTAGATATGGGATTTGGGTTGCGTCCCAAATGGCACACAATTCCCTTATAGTGCACTGCTTTAGGGCTCTGGCCAAAAATAGTGTAATATAAATAGGCTACTATGTATATAGGGACTGGGGTGCCATTTGGGACACACTCAGGGAGTTGTTTAATAGCTAGGGATGTTCTTAATAGCTAGGGAGGTTCTTAATAGCTAGGGGGTTCTTAATAGCTAGGGAGGTTCTTAATAGCTACGGGGTTCTTAATAGCTAGGGAGGTTCTTAATAGCTAGGGAGGTTCTTAATAGCTAGGGAGGTTCTTAATAGCTAGGGAGGTTCTTAATAGCTAGGGAGGTTCTTAATAGCTAGGGAGGTTCTTAATAGCTAGGGAGGTTCTTCTAGTTCTCTAGTTCTCAAAAGAATGTCTTTACAGCAACTTCACAGCAGTCATCCTCCTCAAGTGATATTTTACTCTTCAAATCTACAGTTAATTTGTAGGTACCTACATGTTCTATATCCAGGCTCTGTCGCCGCCGGCCGCGACCGGGAGACTCATGGGCGGCGCACAATTGGCCCAGCGTCGTCCAGGGTAGGGGAGGGAATGGCCGGCAGGGATGTAGCTCAGTTGATAGAGCATGGCGTTTGCAACGCCAGGGTTGTGGGTTCGATTCCCACGGGGGGCCAGTATAAAAAATAATATGTATTCACTAACTGTAAGTCCCTCTGGATAAGAGCGTCTGCTAAATGACTAAAATGTAAAATGTAAATGTAATGTAAATATATCAAAACCTATTTTCTATACAAAGCAATTTCTAGCAAAGACATTGAAAATAAATGTAAACTTCTCTCTATATGAGTTTTAGAGCTATCTTTAGAGCCTGATTAAATTTTGTATTAGTTCATTCAATTTTCATGTTAATTCAAGTTTTATTTGTCGCACCTTTTGGGTATGTTACATAACAACCACACTCAATTCTAAATTCTAGGTTTTCTTCTGCCCAATCATTACAACAGTATAACCATAGAATTAGGAATTACAATGTAATAGGATCTCTATGAGTATAATAGACTAAAAAGTATAAAAACTGAAAAGTACCAAGTACATTTAGGGCTCTATTTACATCTGGCTCTAAGGAGGTGAAAGTGTCAAAGGCACGTTAGTTTGCAATTTCATCATGTAAAAACGGGCGAACTAGCATTTTCCAGCCCTAACGCCAGGTTTGGCAATTTAGCTGTTTAACATCAGCTCGATGGAGCTGAGGTGGGAGGGGTTGCAATATTTGAGGTGTGTCCTTAAAAACAAGCGCAAAAGTTACAATTTTAGCAGCGCTAAAGGGAAGTTTTAAAACCTACAAAAAGCAGGTCTTAACATGTAACACAGTTGATAATGGCATTCATTTTGAGAAAGGAAGCGCAGCAATCCAGCCATGACGCCATGGAAGGAGAGATGTGCCTTTTGTGCCGGTAAATGTCGTATTTAGAAACATAAAAAAACGATTGGTTTCCCCCCTAGTTCGTTTAATTTTAGAGAAAACCAAGCATAACCTATCCTCCCCTTAATCAAGGCTGGTTTAGCAGCATCACATAGGTGCTGCTTTTTATCCTGGCCATTAGCCAAGTAGCCTATGATTAAAGGGGCTTTAAATGGTCTACCTGAATTTCGCTTGTTCAACTAGGATATCCATCCCCGTTTTCAAAGAGCGCCCCTTCTCCGATTACCAAAGACACGCTCCTCCAAATTATTCAGTCCTCCTATAATGCCATATCAATGGCCGACTTTTTTGAGAATCTGTCTTGCACATTGGCAACGATACAATTGATAGGAGCCTAGTATTTGTATAGACCTGCAAATATTCTGCGTAAAGACATTTAGGCCTATGTGTGCACACGGTGCCATGGAACGAGAGAAGCGATTTATCATATCATGCTTCTGACTAACTTGATAAACCTATTAGAAAGATTCACCTTCCATGGGTTTATGGTGAGAACGTACAAGGCTCAAATGCAATGCAATTTCATCTTCTATTTCTGGAGAAGTGCAAATATGATCTGTAAGATGGTTCCATGATGTTTATAAAACATGACGAGCAGTATAAAGGTGAGTGGACATTCCCCCTTCCTCTTTATATTGGATCTTTATCCAGCTCCTGTGAAAAGTTCGGATGTGAGTAAAACCCTCCATAGTCTAAGTTGCCTTGTCTGTATTATGGTGCCTGTAACTGTATTTGATTAGAATGATATACTGTCTTCTTAGGCTTTAGCAATAGCCTAGTGAATGTAATATTGCTTATTGACTACGTTTTGCATGTCCAGACTGAAATAAACAGTACGCCTAGCCCCTATATTAGTGAGAACGCTACAGCCTATGTTTAACAATGTATACCAAATTGAAGCAATGCAATTAGAACAATGTGGACTGCAAACATGTTCAACATATTTAGCTAATATGGGGCAGGCTATTTAAGGAACTAGGCTATAATGGACTAACATTCGCATTAGATGTGATGACAACACAATACATAAAAGATCGTAAATACACAACTTGAAGCAACCACATAAGTTATTTAGCCATGGAGCATGTTCTGATTGGCCAGTGAGGAGCCAAGCCTCGACACACCCACAACTTGTTTATTCATCAAAACCCAGCCCTCTAGTGCCACCTCCAGCTATTGCGGCCATAATTACGGTTGTGAAAATAGCAACAACAAAAAATCTGACACACCCTCGAACCTATAACGCTACCACCAGCGCTAAGATGTACCATTACATTGCATTTGTTAAAATAGAGCCCTTAGACAGGGTTTTAGGGTTTCAGTATCAAATCATGAAACTTGTTCAACCTTAACAGGGATCCCTGTATATCTTTATACAAAAAAGGCATGACCAAAATTGTAACATACAGAAATTGTTTATGTTTTTGGTACGATTATGAGAAAATGTCATGCTGTTCAACTCCCACCTCTAGTTGAAACTAATATTTTGGCAGTTTTACAAACAGAAACCTCTCTAGCGTTGCCAAAAGACAAAGAGCTGTGACTGGATCAGTGGTTCACCAATCAGGGCCTTGATGGGCTTGGCAACAGGAACAAGGGGTAATGTGTAATGAAACTAGGGGCGGGGGCGGGTGGAACATTTCTTTGCAAACATTAGGTGACGTCCCTGGGACAAACTGGGAACTAGACAAAAACCTCCAGGGGACCATGACACAACGTCCTGACGACTTTAGGCGGCCATTTTGTGACATCCTGGGGATGTCCTAATGACTTGTTATTGTTTGCAGGGTATCTCATTCAGAAGTTCCACATTTTAGGTCTGTAATCCATACTAGGCCATTGATTTACAGTGGTGTTCGAAATTATTGACACCCATGATCAAGATGAGCAAAAATTACTGTATAAAATAATTCAAATACTGAGCTATATTGTATTCTCCATTTCTTTTTTAAATTATATTATTTTGTACTAATACAATTGCTCAGAGAAATATATTTTTGTTTAATGGGTAATAACTTTTTTTTTTTATCTGACCTTGCGAAGATAATGGCACTGAGCATTTTTCTAAAATGTTTTATGAGTTGGAGAACACATTGGGGGGGATCTAAGACCATTCCTCCATACAGAATCCTTCCAGATCCTTGATATCCTTAGTCTTATGGACTGCCCTCTTCAATTCAAACCACAGGTTTTCAATGGGTTTCAAGTCCGGAGACTGAGATGGCCATTGCAAAATGTAGATTTAGTTGCCAATTAACCATTTCTTTGTGGCTAAAATGTCCTGTTACTGGATAAATTCATGATGCCGTTGACCTTAAAAAGGGCCCCAGGACCAGTGGAAGCAAAATAGCCCCATAAAATGAAAGCTCCACCACCATATTTTACATAGGTATGGGGTTATTTTCTGATTATGCATTCTCATTTGACACCAAACCCACCACTGTTGTGTGGCCAAAGAGCTCTATTTTCATGTCATTTGACCAAAGCACCGGTTCTAGTCCAAGTGCCAATGCCATTTAGCAAACTCAAGGCGTTTACATTTGCTGGATGACATGAAAATGCCTGTGGTTTGAATTGAAGAGGGCAGTATATAATCACATATGAAGGATATCAAGGATCTGGAAGGATTCTGTATGGAGGAATGGTCTAAGATCCCCCAATGTGTTCTCTAACTCATAAAACATTTTAGAAAAAGGCTCAGTGCCACTATCTTCGCAAGGTGAGGTATTAAAAGGTATTGAAAACAGGGTTGTCAATCATTTTGACCCCTACCTTTTGGAGAAAAAAAATACATTACTTGTTAAACAAAATCTATTTCCCCGCACAATTCTATTAGTATAAAAAAATAGAATTTCCGTTTTTTTTGTTGCATACGATATCACTCTATTTATTTGATACAGTCATTTTTGCTCATTTTTATCAAGGGTGTCAATAATTTCAGACCCCACTGTATCTTCTTGATTAGATTAATATCAAGAAGTTATTCAATGAAATCTAATCAGCACGAACAGCTGCAGAAGTTATTCAATGAAATCTAATCAGCACGAACAGCTGCAGAAGTTATTCAATGAAATCTAATCAGCACGAACAGCTGCAGAAGTTATTCAATGAAATCTAATCAGCACGAACAGCTGCAGAACTCTTGATCAAATAAAATACACACTGTATATACTCTTGGTTTAGCTTTTTGGTCTAAACAAACAATATCGTAAAAAAAAAAAAAGTGTTTAGAGGATCGATATGGGTTGCTTCCCATTACCATGGGATAAAAAACACCAAATATGAAATGTATCACTAACGTCTGTAAAGATTACAGAACACACAAAAAGCCTTTATATCCTCAGAGTTGTTCATGTTGGACTATCGAGTGTTCATATACAGTGGTCAAAGTGTAGTCCTACATCTTGGTCTCACTGTCTGGAGGTTTCTCATTTTCATACTGGTTCTCGTGGGCGATGAGCTGGTAGGATTTCTTGTCTTTCTCCTCAACCACAGAGTTCCCCATCTCCGCATCCTTGGATTGTAACTCATGACGAGACAGATACTCAACAATACCTGCGCCGATCGAGTCTCCCAATACATTAGTGGTGGTACGCAACCTGTCCCTGAATGAAATGGAGGGAGTCCGGTGGTTAGGGATAATATACCGTGCAGACAAGGGAATAGAACACTCTTAGAATATTACTCTTTCAGCTTTCCTACAAGGGACCCTTTTCTAACATATTTTTCTCCCCCAAAGAAAAGGAAAGGTTTGCACAGAGGCAAAGCTTTGGTGTGACATTTTGCAAAGGCATGCACCACCAAGCCTATTCCTTACAGACAAAACCTGTTTGTTTTCCATTGGAGATTTGGCAAACTGAAACCAGGTGTATCATTTCACAAACTGGGATGGATGCTATGATTGTCGTTGAACACAATGGGTATGTTTAAATAACCTCAGTTATTAAAGCGGAAATGCATAGCCGGTAGAGCCCATGCATGAGATCTCTAGAGGAATCAGATGTTGATAGAATCAGAAACAGATGGATTGGGGGAGAATGGAATGGGAAGGGAATGTCACTCAAACTAGAAAGAATTGTTTTCAGAAAATAGACTGTACTCACAGGAACCAATCCACTGCAATGATGAGGCTGATGTCATCGGTGGGCAGTCCAACAGAGGTCAGCACAATCACCATGGTGACCAGTCCAGCCTGTGGTATCCCAGCTGCACCGATACTAGCTGCAGTGGCCGTGATGCTATTCCACAGGACAGAGACACAACCAAAGAAATAGATTAGATTAATCAGGGTTTTCCCAAACTCTGTCCTCGGGACTCCAAGGGGTGCATGTTTTTTTTTTTTGCCCTAGCACTACACAGCTGATTCAAATAATAAACGAATCATCAAACTTGGATAATTTTAATCAGCTGTGTAGTGTTAGGGCAAAAAAACTAAAAGTGCACCCCTTGGGGTCCTGAGGACAGAGTTTGGGAAACGCTGGATTAGATGAATACACTTCCTGCTTTTACTTCCTGCTTTACGGCTATGGGTACACTCAAAATGGCTGCCAGTCTACCCAATATGTCACAATTGACTTGAATGGGGATGCCCATTCTACTCATTCTAGTTCTGTGGACACATTGCTTCTGTAACAAACGTTTCATTTCCAAGCACTCACACTGTTGCTTAACAAACCCTTGACTCATTCAGTTTCAAGGAAACCAACCTCTGCAGCTCCTCCTTTGCCCAGGAATTTGCATTGATGTTAGTGGCAGACTAAGTGTGAGTCACGATTCGTCCCCAAAGAGCTTGGTTAATGGACTGGATGGACATACCTTATAGTGAGGATCTGTCCAAAGTTCATGTCCATGTTGTTGACCTGGGCTATGAAGAGAGCCGCGAGAGCTTCATACAAGGCGGTGCCATCCATGTTGATGGTGGCGCCCACTGGCAGCACGAAGCGCGTCACTCTCTTATCCACCCCGTTGTTCTCCTCCAGACACTTAAAGGTGATGGGCAGCGTGGCTGAGCTGAGGGTGAGGTGAAACAGGAGGAAAGGAGAGAGAGAGAGAGAGAGAGAGAGAGACAGACAAACGAGACATTAGGAGTCAGAAAAGGCAGATCTACTGTCTATCATCATGACAACTCACCTAGATGAGGTCCCCAATGCGGTGATGAGAGCCTGTAGGATTCCACCGATGAACACAAAGGGATTCTTCCGTGTGATCACAAAGTAGAGTGTAGGCAGCACCAGGAAGGCATGGATAGATAGGCCAGTGATGACTGTTATAGTGTACATGCCCAACTGGCTGCCCATTTCTGTGATGTCATCCATCTCCACTATCTTCCCAGCTATGAGAAACAGGATACCAACGGGTGCATACCTGATGCAGAAAAAAATGCATTATAAATCCCACGTCAAAATTTAGGCTCACAATACCAAGCGAGTGCTAATAGTTAGCTACATCACGTCTTTGTAGAACCGTCAAGCTCAACACATTTCAACCATTACATAGTGCACAACACCAAGTTATACTTTGCTTATTTTTTAAAAGTATTTTATCTTTATTGGATAGATTTAGAGGTAAATTAAAAGGGTGAGAGACCGGCACCCTTTAATTCCCAACCAGCCTGTAATTCCCAGCCACCCTTTAATTCCCAACCAGCCTGTATTTCCCAGCCACCCTGTAATTCCCAGCCACCCTGTAATTCCCAGCCACCCTGTAATTCCCAACCAGCCTGTAATTCCCAGCCACCCTGTAATTCCCAGCCACCCTTTAATTCCCAACCAGCCTGTATTTCCCAGCCACCCTGTAATTCCCAGCCACCCTGTAATTCCCAGCCACCCTTTAATTCCCAACCAGCCTGTAATTCCCAGCCACCCTGTAATTCCCAACCAGCCTGTAATTCCCAGCCACCCTGTAATTCCCAGCCACAATATAATTCCCAGCCACCTTGTAATTTGAACACTCCGGGGTGAGGTTTCCCCTTGGTACAGATTTAGGATCAGCTTCCACTTCCCCAATCATACATTTAAGCATTAGTGGGGAAAATGCTAAACGCTGAACCAAAATCAATGTCTAGGGGCAACTTCACCCTATATCTAATTCAAACCATGCCTAACTGCACCACGCACCACATGATAATGGCCACCAGTCTCATGATAGCCTCGTTGAGACAGTCAAAGAAGTCCCTGAGGGGCTTGCCCTGCTCCTTCATGTTGCCGATGATGAGACCGAAGCACATGGAGAACACCACCAGACCTAGGGCATTGACCCCGTTCACCTGCCCCGGGATGGGGATCACCTCCTCCCGCATGATATACTGGCCCTGGGTCCCGTTCAGGACGAAGAGGGTGTCGTTCACTGTCATCTTCACATGGACCACTCTCTTACCGTACTGCGTTTTAAACTGGAGGGCAATGGAGGGCAAAGGTGCAAAGCTTTATTGATTTTTGTGTTGTAGATATACAGTGTATTCGGAAAGTATTCAGACCCCTTGACTTTTTCCACATTTTGTTACGTTACAGCCTTATTCTAAAATGGATTAAATCTTTTTTCCCCCTCATCAATCTACACACAATACCCCATAATGACAAAGTAAAAACGGAAATATTACATTTACATACGTTTTCAGACCCTTTACTAAGTACTTTGTTGAATCACCTTTGACAGCAATTACAGCCTCAAGTCTTCTTGGGTATGACGCTACAAGCTTGGCACACTTGTATTTGAGGAGTTTCTCCCATTCTTCTCTGCAGATGCTCTCAAGCTCTGTCAGGTTGGATGGGGAGCGTCGCTGCACAGCTATTTTCAGGTCTCTCCAGAGATGTTCGATCGGGATCAAGTCCGGGCTCTGGCTGGGCCACTCAAGGACATTCAGAGACTTGTCCCGAAGCCACTCCTGCGATGTCTTGGCTGTGTGCTTAGGGTCGATATCCTGTTGGAAGGTGAACCTTCGCCCCAGTCTGAGGTCCTGAGCGCTCTGTAGCAGGTTTTCATCAAATATCTCTCTGTACTTTGCTCCGTTCATCTTTCCCTCGATCCTGACTAGTCTCCCAGTCCCTGCCGCTGAAAAACATCCCCACAGCATGATGCTACCACCACCATGCTTCACTGAAGGGATGTTGCCAGGTTTCCTCCAGACGTGACGCTTGGCATTCAAGCCAAAGAGTTCCATCTTGGTTTCATCAGACCAGAGAATCTTGTTTCTCATGGTCTGAGAGTCCTTTAGGAGCCTTTTAGCAAACTCCAAGTGGGCTGTCATGTGCCTTTTACTGGCCACTCTACCATAAAGGCCTGATTGGTGGAGTGCTGCAGAGATGGTTGTCCTTCTGGAAGGTTCTCCCAGTAAAAGTAAAAGTAAAAGTAGTCAAAAATATAAATAGTAAAGTAAAGTACAGATACCCAAAAAAACGACTTAAGTAGTACTTTAAAGTATTTTTACTTAAGTACTTTACACCACTGAGCCACTGTGTTCTTGGGGACCTTAAATGCTGCTGACATTTTTTGGTACCCTTCCCCAGATCTGTGCCTCGACACAATCCTGTCTCGGAGCTCTACGGACAATTCCTTCGACCTCATTACTTAGTTTTTGCTCTGACATGCGCTGTCAACTGTGGGACCTTATGTAGACAGGTGTGTGCCTTTCCAAATCATGTCCAATCAATTGAATTTACCACAGGTGGACTCCAATCAAGTTGTAGAAGCATCTCAAGGATGATCAATGGAAACAGGATGCACCTGACCTCAAGGGCGGCAGGTAGCTTAGTGGGTAAGAGCGTTGTGCCAGTAACCGAAAGGTCGCTGGTTCTAATCCCAGAGCCGACTAGGTGAAAAATCTGTCGATGTGCCCTTGAGCAAGGCACTTAACCCTAATTGCTCCTGTAAGTCGCTCTGGACAAGAGCGTCTGCTAAATGACTAAAAAAAAAATATATTTTTTTTTTTTCGAGTCTAATAGCAAAGGGTCTGAATACTTATGTAAATAAGGTATTTCGGTTTTTTCTTTTTTATAAATGTGCTAAAATTTCTAAAAACCAGTTTTCGCTTTGTCATTATGGGGTATTGTGTGTAGATTGATGAGGATTTTTATTTATTTAATAAATTGTAGAATAACGCTGTAATGTAACAAAATGTGGAAAAAGTCAGGGTGTCTGAATACTTTCTGAATGCGCTGTATACAGGTAGGTCGACTTCTATGAACAGATTAACAATGAAATAACCAACACACTTTATAACATAAAAGACCTGGTCCTCTGTAGCTCAGTTGGTAACGCATGGCGCTTGCAATGCCAGGATAGTGGGTTTGATTCCTGGGACCACCGATATGTAAAATTCATGCACGCATGACTGTAAGTCTCTATGGATAAAAGCATCTGCTAAATGGCATATATATATTATATTATAGGTATAATATGTCATATACACTGAGTGTAGAAAACATTAAGAACACCTGCCCTTTCCGTGACATAGACCGACCAGGTGAATCCAGGTGAAAGCGATGATCCCTTTTTTTTTGTCAATTGTTAAATCCACTTCAATCAGTGTAGATGAAGGGGAGGAGACAGGTTAAAGAAGGATTTCTAAGCCTTGAGATAATTGAGACATGGATTGTGTATGTGTGGGCAAAACACAATTATTTAAGTGCCTTTGAATGGGGTATGGTAGTAGATGCCAGGCGCACCGGTTTGTGTCAAGAACTGCAATGCTGCTGGGTTTTTCACACTCAACAGTTTCCCCGCGTGTATCAAGAATGGTCCACCACCCAAAGGACATCCAGCCAACTTGACACAACTGTGGGAAGCATTGGAGTCAACATGGGCCAGCATCCCTGTGGAATGCTTTTGACACCTTGTAGAGTCCATGCTCCAACAAATTGAAGCTGTTCTGAGGGCAAAAAGGGATGGGGAGGTGCAACTCTATATTAATGTTTGGTATACTCAGTGTATTCGCCATAAACAGTGGACTTTGATATGCCCCTATGGGTCATATTACTAGGCTTCATTAATACTATCTGGATACGGCACTGATCTGGGTTTCACATTGTTCCCTTCATTCAAATCTGTCAGTGAGATCGATGTACGGTCCAGGTTTACATTGTGGAACAGAAAAGGACTTACCTGCTGTGTGCAAGCTTGCACAATGTTTGGAGGGAACATGTTTCTAGAAGAGAGAAACAAACCAATCAAATCTCAGTACAGCAAAAGTGTTGTACTTGCATTTTATTTTCCTTTACAGTGACAAACTGATCATTCATGTGAATGCAAGAGGAAATCAGAAAACAACAACAGAACAGCAACAGGAAGCAATAACAGAACAGCAACAGGAAGCAACAACAGAACAGCAACAGGAAGCAACAATAGAACAGCAACAACAAGACAGCAACAGGAAGCAACAACAGAACAGCAACAGGAAGCAACAACAGAACAGAAATAGGAAGCAACAACAGAACAGCAACAGGTAGCAACAACAGAACAGCAACAGGAAGCAACAACAGAACAGTAACAGGAAGCAACAACAGAACAGCAACAGGAAGCAACAACAGAACAGCAACAGGAAGCAACAACAGAACAGCAACAGGAAACAACAACAGAACAGCAACAGGAAACAACAACAGAAGAGCAACAGGGAGCAACAACAGAACATCAACAGGAAACAACAACAGAACAGCAACAGGAAATAACAACAGCAACAGGAAACAACAACAGGAAGCAACAACAGAACAGCAGCAGGAAGCAACAACAGGACAACAACAGAACAACAACAGGAAACAACAACAGAAACAGGAAACAACAACAGAAACAGGAAGCAACAACAGAACAGCAACAGGAAACAACAGAACAGCAACAGGAAGCAACAACAGAACAGCAACAGGAAACAACAACAGAACAGCAACAGGAAGCAACAACAGAACAGCAACAGGAAGCAACAACAGAACAGCAACAGGAAACAACAACAGAACAGCAACAGGAAACAACAACAGAACAGCAACAGGAAACAACAACAGAAGAGCAACAGGAAACAACAACAGAAACAGGAAGCAACAACAGAACATCAACAGGAAACAACAACAGAACAGCAACAGGAAGCAGTATAATGTACAGTAGTGACTCTAACCCAACACCTAGTGACCTCGTCAGCAGGTTTCAGATCTCTTGGCGTAACAGCTAAGGTGTTGAACTGACAATCGCTGGACCCGGTCGGGGCACCCGCTGAATACGCTACAATAATTATGGCCTACCTGATGAGGTCCAGGAAAGCGTCAGCAGGGCTGACCTGTTCGATCTTCTGCTGATTTTTGAATTCCTCCTTGGAGCCCTTCCCAGGGTGGATGATGAGCACCATGACGATGCCGATGAAGACTGCGATGACCGTGGTGGTCATGTAATACACAACGGCCCGCATGCCCATCCTCCCAGAGGCACGGCTGTCCAATGCTGCCATGCCTGGTGGGACAGAAAAAACAGCCTGGTGAGTCAGTCTGAGAGGAGAGAAAGACCACGTCCCGAATGGCACCCTATTCACTTTGTAGTGCACTAATTTTGACCAGGGTCCATATGTCTTGGTGTAACACAAAACACGAGACAGTCGAGAGTAGAGAAAACACTTGATGACGATCCCAGACCTGTCATGCTCACCAAGTTTGTGTCCCAAAGGGCGCCCTATTCCCTATATAATGACTAGGGTGCCATTTGGGACGCAAGCCAACCACTCTGCCCTGACGTATTCTCACACAGGAATTGAAACTAGCTAAGTGACTTCCAGGCTGGACTGCTTCAGCCGGGTCCCTGTAGCTGAGTTTGAATCTCTTTGACGGGATGTAAAGAATGTAAAAGTTAAAGTGAAAAACAGAACGAAATATTGTTATTTTGGGGCTGAAAACATACTGGGACAATGACCTTGCATCAGTAGCAATGACGTTAGTTAGCGACATATTTTCAGTGTCAGCTGTCCTTATGGGGTATTCCTCCAGTTCAGCCTTTTGTGTGAATGAGATGTGATGCATGTGTTCTTTTCAGAGTTGCACTGTGTGACCCGTACATGGCCCTCTGCCCTAGTCCCTCTCCTTCTCTCTCCCCCCTTTACACACTAATCTTATCGCCTGCAATTCTCTTTCTTTACTCCCCCCCCCCCCCCCCCCCCCCCCCGCCCTTTCTCTTTTGGACAGCCCTGGGAAAACTTGTTGACTTAGTCCGGCTTGCACAGCTACATTGATTCTCCCCCGTCACCCTGGCAACAAGAAATGCAGCCTCTGCAATTTCATCCTTTAGAGTGAAATAATTACTTTCTCATACAGAGATTGTTCATTAAACCAAAGTGCTGTACACTCTTAGAAAAAGGGTTCCAAAAGCGTTCTTCAGCTGTCCCCATAGGAGGACCCTTTTTGGTTCCAGGTATAATCCTTTTTGGTTCCAGGTAGAACTCTTTTGGGTTCCATGCAGAACCTTCTGTGTAAAGGGTTCTACATGGAACTCAAAAGGGTTATAAATGGAACCAAAAGGGTTCTACCTGGAACCAAAAAGGGTTCTTCAAAGAGTTATCCTACGGAGACAGCAGAATAATCCTTCTAGGTTCTAGATAGCACCTTTTTTTCTAAGAGTGTAGAGGAGACATTGTGATGTTAGGACTTCATAACTGAAAGGGGTCCGTCACATTTATGCCAACTAAAATTCACAGCCATCCAGCACAATACCTCTTCAGTTCCTATAGGTCCCTGACAATCAGCATGAGCCCATTAACGTTGTATAGGGCTTTTATCCTAAATGGCACTCTATTCACTTAAAAGTAGTGCACTATATAGGGAATAGGGTGCCTTTTGGGACGCAGACTAGATCTCTGGCATTACCACAACAGACAAATGTGAACTAATTATTTGAGGCCTGTCAGAAGTAGAAGTTGCCTACAGGGTTCCTTCATTTATTGAACTGATGCAAATGCACATAGTCTACTGTCTGATGTTCCATATTGATTTAGACCTTTTTATGAACAGTGATTTTTATGACCCATTTTTATGCCAAAAACATCTTGAAGACAACTGATCGTGCCAATCAAGGCACTGTTTAGGCCTACATTGCCAACTGTGCATCAACAATGTGGTGTTTACTTTAAAGAAGGGATGATACATACATCCAGACGAGCAAAACAGAAGTACAGTCCATTCGGAAAGTATTCAGACCCCTTGACTTTTTCCACATTTTGTTACATTACAGCCTTATTCTAAAATTGATTAAATTGTTTTTTTTCCCCTCATCAATCTTCACACAATACCCCATTATGACAAAGCAAAACATTTGGTATTTCAGTTTCTTATTTTTAATACATTTGCAAAAATTTCTAAGGGGAAAAAAACAATTTAATCAATTTTAGAATAAGGCTGAAACGTAACAAAATGTGGAAAAAGTCAAGGGGTCTGAATACTTTCCGAATGGACTGTATTAGTGTATAAAAATGGATTGGCCTGATTTAGCCATGGGCTAGAACTAAGGACAGGTTCATGTGAGCAGAGGCCCCACCACACACCCCTTGTATAACCTTCACGGCCCCACCCCCTATCTCCCCATTCATCCACCCACCCACCCTCTAAACCTCTGCACTTCCCTCTTATGAGGGGTCATGAAATGCCTGGCCAGTGTTTTATGTGTACTTTTTTTTTTGTACTTTTGCCCACTGACAAAGAAATGATCAGTCTATAATTTTAATGGTAGGTTTATTTGAACAGTGAGAGACAGAATAACAACAAAAATATCCAGAAAAACGCATGTCAAAATGTTAGAAATTGATTAGCATTTTAATGAGGGAAATAAGTATTTGACCCCCTCTCAATCAGAAAGATTTCTGGCTCCCAGGTGTCTTTTATACAGGTAACGAGCTGAGATTAGGAGCACACTCTTAAAGGGAGTGCTCCTAATCTCAGCTTGTTACCCGTATAAAAGACACCTGTCCACAGAAGCAATCAATCAATCAGATTCCAAACTCTCCACCATGGCCAAGACCAAAGAGCTCTCCAAGGATGTCAGGGACAAGATTGTAGACCTACACAAGGCTGGAATGGGCTACAAGACCATCGCCAAGCAGCTTGGTGAGAAGGTGACAACAGTTGGTGTGATTATTCGCAAATGGAAGAAAGAAAAAAGAACTGTCAATCTCCCTCGGCCTGGGGCTCCATGCAAGATCTCACCTCGTGGAGTTGCAATGATCATGAGAACGGTGAGGAATCAGCCCAGAACTACACGGGAGGATCTTGTCAATGATCTCAAGGCAGCTGGGACCATAGTCACCAAGAAAACAATTGGTAACACACTACGCCGTGAAGGACTGAAATCCTGCAGCGCCCGCAAGGTCCCCCTGCTCAAGAAAGCACATATACAGGGCCGTCTGAAGTTTGCCAATGAACATCTGAATGATTCAGAGGAGAACTGGGTGAAAGTGTTGTGGTCAGATGAGACCAAAATGGAGCTCTTTGGCATCAACTCAACTCGCCGTGTTTGGAGGAGGAGGAATGCTGCCTATGACCCCAAGAACACCATCCCCACCGTCAAACATGGAGGTGGAAACATTATGCTTTGGGGGTGTTTTTCTGCTTAGGGGACAGGACAACTTCACAGCATCAAAGGGACGATGGACGGGGCCATGTACCATCAAATCTTGGGTGAGAACCTCCTTCCCTCAGCCAGGGCATTGAAAATGGGTCGTGGATGGGTATTCCAGCATGACAATGACCCAAAACACACGGCCAAGGCAACAAAGGAGTGGCTCAAGAAGAAGCACATTAAGGTCCTGGAGTGGCCTAGCCAGTCTCCAGACCTTAATCCCATAGAAAATCTGTGGAGGGAGCTGAAGGTTCGAGATGCCAAACGTCAGCCTCGAAACCTTAATGACTTGGAGAAGATCTGCAACGAGGAGTGGAACAAAATCCCTCCTGAGATGTGTGCAAACCTGGTGGCCAACTACAAAAAATGTCTGACCTCTGTGATTGCCAACAAGGGTTTTGCCACCAAGTACTAAGTCATGTTTTGCAGAGGGGTCAAATACTTATTTCCCTCATTAAAATGCAAATCAATTTATAACATTTTTGACATGCGTTCTTCTGGATTTTTTTGTTGTTATTCTGTCTCTCACTTCAAATAAACCTACCATTAAAATTATAGATTGATCATGTCTTGGTCAGTGGGCAAACGTACAAAATCAGCAGGGGATCAAATACTTTTTTCCCCTAACTGTACGTCTCTCTCTCTCTCTACCTCCGTCTCTCTCTCCCTCTCTCTCTCTACCTCCATCTCTCTCTCCCTCTCTCTCCCTACCTCCGTCTATCTCTCTACCTCCGTCTATCTCTCTCTCTCTCTCTACCTCCGTCTCTCTCTCTCTCTCACACTCCTTCTCATCTCTCCCCTCTCTCTACCTCCGTCTCTTACTCTCTCTCCCTACCTCCGTCTCTCTCTCTCTGTCTCCTCTCTCTCCTCCGTCTCTCTCTCTCTCTCTCTCTCTCTCCCTCTTACTCCTCCTCTCTCTACTCCTCTCGTCTCCTCCTCTCTCTCTACTCTACCTCCGTCTCTCTCCTCTACCTCTCGTCTCTCTTCTCCCTACCTCCTCTTTCTCTCTCATCTCTCCTACTCACCTCCTCTCTCTCTCTCTCTCCTCTACGTCCCTCTCTCTCTCTCGTCTCTCTCTCTCTCTCTCTCTCTCTCTCTCTACGTCCGTCTCTCTCGCTCTCTCTCTCTACCTTCGTCTCTTTCTCCCTCTCCCATCTTATGACTTGGAACAAACAAAATACTTTGAAGGACAGGCAATGTCAGAAATCATCTAGATATTACAGTACAATTTAACAGTAACATATTGGGATATACACAAAAGAAGATCAGGATATTGGCAGGAACTGGAACACGCTGTGGTACACGTTGATCCAGATCATACCAAACATGCTCAATGGGTGACATGTCTGGTGAGTATGCAGGCCATGGAAGAACTGGGACATTTTTAGCTTCCAGGAATTGTGTACAGATCCTTGCGACATGGGGCCGTGCATTATCATGCTGAAACATGAGGTGATGGCGGCGGATGAATGGCACAAGAATGGGCCTCAGGATCTCGTCACAGGTCTCTGTGCATCAAACCGCTCGCCCACACAAAGCCATACACACTCTGTCTGCCATCTGCCTGGTACAGTTGAAACCGAGATTCATCTGTGAAGAGCAGTGGCCATCGAAGGTGAGTATTTGCCCACTGAAGTCGATTACGACACCGAACTGCAGTCAGGTCAAGACCCTGGTGATGACGACGAGCACGCAGATGAGCTTCCATGAGACAATTTATGACAGTTTGTGCAGAAATTCTTCGGTTGTGCAAAACCACAGTTTCATCAGCTGTCCGGGTAGTTGGTCTCAGACGATCCCGCAGGTGAAGAAGCCAGATGTGGAGGTCCTGGGCTGACGTAGTTACATGTGGTCTGCGGTTGTGAGGCCGGTCTGACATGCTGCCAAATTCTCTAAAACGACATGGTAGAGAAATTAACATTAAATTCTCTGGCAACAGCTCTGGTGGACATTCCTGCAGTCAGCATGCCAATTGCACGCTCTCTCAAAACTTGAGACATTTCTGGCATTGTGTTGTGTGACAAAACTGCACATTTTAGAGCGGCCATTTATTGTCCCCAGCACAAGAAAAATAATAAT